TAATGATTTTTCTATGTTGATGTTTATATCCTGCTCCTTGCTTATAGCTATTGATGATGTCCTAGAAGCTTTCTGAAGTAGAGTTTTTTGCATCTTTAAAGTATCAGGATGATCGATGTCGTCTGCAAATGAGGGATTAATTTGACAGTTTTCTTTCCTATTTGGTATTCCTTATTCCTTCTTCTTGCCTAATGCTCTGTCTAGAATTTCATTACTATGTTAATAGGAGTGGAGATAAGTGGGCATCCTTGTCTGTTCCTGATTTTAGAGGGAATGTTTTCAGTTCTTTTCCATGAAGTAAAATAATGCTGGCTGTACAGTTGTTCACATATACTTTTATAATGTTGAGGTAAAACTTCCTTCTACTTCCTAGTTTTCTTAAAGCTTTTATCTGAATGGTGTTGGATCTTATCGAAAGGCTTTTTCTGCAATCTATTGAGATGATTCAGGTGGGTTTTGTCTTTGCTTCTTGTTTAATGTTGGTTTATTACATTTATTGATTTTCGGTATGTTTGAACACTCTTTGGCATTCCTGGGATGAAGCTACTGGCTCGTCGTGAAAATAATCTTTTTGATGTGTTTGGTTTGATTGGTTTGCATTATGTTTGTTGAGGATTTTTGCATCAATGTTCATTAAGGAGATTGGCCTATAGTTCTCCTTTTTGAGTTCTTTGCCCTGGTTTTTGGGATAAGTGTAATACTCGGGCTTTCATAAAATGTGTTTTTCGGCATTCCTTCCTTTCTATTTCGTGGAACCAGTTTAAGGAGGGTTGGTAAGTCCGTTTTCTTTAAAAGGTCTGGGTTAGAATCTCAGCAGAGAATTCCATCAGGTCCTGGATTTTCTTTTTTTGGGAGACTCTTGATTGCTGCTTCAATTTCATTTTGTGTTATCGGTCTATTTCAGTGATATTAATTTCCTCTTGGTTCAGTTTTGGATGATCAATGTATCTAAAAGAATCTGTCCATTTTCTTTTAAAATTTTAAATTTATATTGAATATAGGTTCTCAAAAAGGTAGTCTCTGATGATGTTTCCTGGACTTCCATGGTAATTTGTTGTTATCTCCCTTTGCATTCCTGATTTCTTACTAATTGGGTTTTTTCCTCTCCTTCATTTTAGTAGGTTTTGCCAGGGGTCTATTGATCTTGTTTATTTTTCAAAGAACCAACTTTTGTTTCATTAATTCTTGTATGGTTTTTTTGTTTCTATTTCATTGATTTCAGCTCTTATTTTTATTTATTCTCTCCTTGTATTTGTTTTGGGATTTGCTTGTTCTTGTTTTTCTAGGAGTTTGGATGTATCATTAAGGTCATTGATTTGGGAATCCTTTCAATCTTTTTAAATATATGCACTCGATCGGCTATAAACTTTCCTCTCAAGACTGCCTTAGCTGTGTCCCATAGGCTTCTGGTAGGGTGTGTTTTGTCATTTTCATTGACTTCAGGAACTTTTTAATTTCCTCTTTTATTGCATCGATGATCATTCTTCATTAAGTAATGTTATTTTTAGTTTTCCCAGCTGTTTGCATGTTTTTTGTCTTTACTTTTGTTGTTGAGTTACTTTACTGCATTGTGGTCAGATAGCATGCCACGGTATTATTTCTATTTCTTATATTTGCTGAGCTTGCTTTGTGCCTAGGATAGAATCTATTTTGGAGAAGGTTCCATGGGCTGCTGAGAAGAATGTATTATTGTGTAGAGGTTTGGATGAAAGTGTTCTGTAGACATCAACTAGGTCCATTTGATCTACTGCATATTTTAGATCTTGGATTTCTTTATTGATTTTTTTGTTTGGATGACCTATCTATTGATGATAATGGGGTGTTAAAGTCTCCCACAACCACTGGATACAGAAGTCTCTTAAAAAAAAAAGCTCAACTATGCCTCTTGCAGGTCACCTACCTAGGTGTGGTCTTAAAGGGACAGACTCACTGAGTCATGAACAAATCCACCCAATCCTCCATTTCCCACTCCCCCATACCATAAAGCAGCTTACAGCTTTCTTGGGAGTTACAGGATTTTACAGAATCTGGACCCCTAGATATACAGCTCTTGCCAGACTGTTTTTTATGCTCCTGCTAATATTCCTATTTGTGCCTTGTATAATAAATGCTCTCTCCAGATTCATATCTCAACAGGTCCAATGGCTCAAACTCCAGCTCTTGGTCAAGAAATACTCACCTCTGCCTACACATAAGCCCTCCATCCCATTCTATCGGGGGCCCCTGCAGATTACATGGGTCAACCCCTGAGACAAGTACTCTCTCCCCTATCTCTCCACCCCGCCCCCAGTCGTCCCATTGTCAGCACGAAGTAGCTAGGTGAGTCATTGCCCCTCTCCTCAACAGCAGTTGGGTGCTTATCTCAGAGGGGGGATTTGTTGGGTCTGATGACCTAAGGCAGATAAATGGGTATCCCATCCCCCCTGGAGAGCCATATCATTCCTGCATCCTGAGGAGTTAGACGGCTCCATTCCTGCACCCTGAGAGGGAGTTGTACACTGCATTTCTACATCCTAAACAAAGATACAAGGTCTGACAGATCTGCCACAGGGCTGATGAGCAAAATGCTCTCTAGATTGTTTCCCCTGTCCCATTAAAGGTAGAAACCACACCAGTTCACCTAAAAAAGCCTGGATATCCATGGCCAATTAAAAAAACCCCACCTAACTCAGAGCTGGGACATCCATAAAAACCCTCAGCCTTCACCTGAGCTACCAATTTCCGGGCTCTGCTCTTTTCTAACTATAGCCTTTCTTTTCTCTCTTATAAATCCTACTTTATATATATACATATATAAATAAATAAATATATATATAATGTATATTATATATATGTATATATTACATATACATATATAAATAAATAAATACATATATATATATATACACATATATATATATGAAAAACAAAACGGGCATCATTAAGGTGTCATGCATCTTTCCAATGGATATGCATTACCTCCAAACCCTATAATGAGTCCCAATAGAGCTGTGAAGGTATTAAACAGCATTTAAAAGGTCTCATACTAACCTGAGTTTAGATTTAGTTACTTTGCATCAAAAAATATTAGACATACAAAACAGTAATTTGCCTATCATTCAACCCTCAGATTAGACGCTTTAAAATGTTTTAACACCTTTAACATATTAAGACATTCATTTTGGATTATGCTTGAAATGGCTTCTCTAATTTTACTTATTCTGTGTTTATTTCCAGTCATCTGCTGAATTGGCACGTACTAGCTCTTCAAATTAAAAGCGGACCTTCACCATGTTCAATTAAAAAATATAAAAAAGAGGAGATGCTGGGAACCAAAAGCCACAGTCTGACAAGGTCACTGTGACTTAGCAGCATTCCGACAAGGTCAGAATCTGCAGGTGCACCATGTCTCTATCACGGTGGGAAGGAATGCTAAATGGTTTCCCTTGACTAAAAAGAAGTTTATGCTTAGTCAAGGACACTGGCAGTAAGAACGCAGGGTGGAAAACACAGAAAGGTTGTAACTAGGTCAGAGTGTTTTTGATGTTTAAGTCTCTTCCTCTTTTGTATAAAGCTTGCTGAGAAAAATAAAATTTTGCCAGTTGGTCATCAGCCTGCTGGCCCTCTCGATATGTGTCTTGTCTTGTCTTGTTCATTCCTGCCCTGAGCCCTTTCCAGTCAAGGACCTCTGTGATCCCGGCACTTAGCATTTCCTCAAAGCACTTTTGGGAGCACTATTTCCTGTTAACTTCACACACGTCCTGTGACAGATGAGAACCGGAGGACAGTGTCTCCATTTCACTGAGTAAGGACTGCTTGGCGAGGTCTAGCAGTACACTTGAGAACACACAGCTGGGGGACATAGCACCTTGGAACTCCTGGGTCTTCACATCCCCTGGCCTCACTTAACACTGTGTTGTGGGTCACATGGCAAAGATCAAGAGACCATTTTTTTGGGCTCTCAGTTTTAACTCTAATTGCATTTAAAAGTTACAACTGAGAAAGTCTTGCCCTACCACTTACAACTCAGCTGAATGAATGAAAAAACCTCCAGGAGGTAGTTGAAAAAAGGATTTCTTCAGAGGCTATAGCTTTTCATGTCTAGAAAAGGTACCATTCGAATGTTAGCTACTTTCCTTTGAGCCTAAGTGGAGCCCTGGTGCTTTGTTGGTCAAATGCAGCGTAAACAGGTATAACTTGCTTAATTCTTCCTTTCCTTTAATGGGGAAGGAGACACTCCCTGTTGGTGAACAGAGCCCTCCATTAAGATGTGGTAGTTGGTCACTGTGGGTCTGTCAGCAGACAGGGCTGGCCTCAGTCAACAAACAATGTGTGCTGTTCATTCTGCCCTTGGAGAAGAGACTTATTCTCACTGTGATGTGACAGAGACATTATTCACCAACCTGTGCCTACTCTCAACACCCAACCCCAATTACATCCACAGGTGATTATTTGTCCAAAAAGTCCTCATTAAAGGGATTTCTTTAACAAGCTCCCGTTATTTATGGATACATTTCACAGACCACCAGCTCTTTGCCTCAATAAGTGTAAAGTTAGAAACTTCAAAATAGCAGCTTCTGCTATTTGAAGATCAATGGTGAATAAAAATAAAGCCTCTCATAAATGGCAAACTGAAACAGTGGGAAATTCTGACCTGGAGTGCTAACTTTCAGGTCACACACAACTGTGTGGCCCTCTGCAAAGACCCAACAGACTCCCCACCCATTCCCACCTCCTGACACAGACAGACCTCTTCCTAGAGAAATTCTTCTTGCTGAGAAGTGTACAGAGAAGGGGTAGGAGAAATTCTCAGCAAAATTCAGGAAAATAAAGTTGGGGAGGGGGCAGCTTAAGACATTTAATCCTACAAGTGAGGTGATAGCATTGGGTGCTCAACTGTGCACAATTTAAAAACCACCACTACATTCCCATTAAAAAAGAAACACACTATATCCCTTCTCAACTGTGGAACAATATGCCTGCACTGCTAGGTGCTGCCACATGAAGGGACACATGCTCACCTTTGTCCTCTGAGATGACCTGCACCAGCTCATACTCCTCAGCTGGGTCTGAGTCCAGATTGTGTTTCAGCATCGCTCTCTGGATTACGGCAGGAGTTTTGTCTTGGCTTGTCAACTACAAAGACAATGAATGAACTTGTGAAATATTTAGCTTTATTTCCTGAGGGTTCTCCTGACCCTCTTCTTCCTTCTGTCTTGTGGTGTACATGTGTGTCTGCAAAGAATGGACTGAGTCAGCACCCACAGTACTAGTCCTGACTCTACCCTTAGTAGCCAAAGATGATGGCTCCTAGCATCACAGTGTCCTGTCTGTTGAAACGGGGAAGACTCGTGCATTATTTATATTCATAGTGCTTGACTTTCTGATGAAAGAACATATTATGAGGGGATTGTGAAAAACGTAATGCATAAGCTAGGATGATCTTCCTGTGCTGGGGTGCTGCCATGGCATCAGCTACAACCAGTGGGACAGAAATGGCTACATTTCTGCCTATTGATCATTTCAAACAGCACAGGTGACCCTGTGACTCAGCAATCTACAGTATTTACCAAGAGCAATGAAAACGTATGTCCACAACAGGACTTGTATGCAAATATTCACATCAAATTTATTCATAATAGCTCAAACTAGAATCGACCTGAATCTCCATCAACAGAGGAGGAGAATGCACACTCATCATAGAACGCGATGAGAAATTAAGGAAGAACTAGCATGTGCAACAACGTTAAAAGTTACAACTGAGAAAGTCTTGCCCTACCACTTACAACTCAGCTGAATGAATGAAAAAACCTCCAGGAGGTAGTTGAAAAAAGGATTTCTTCAGAGGCTATAGCTTTTCATGTCTAGAAAAGGTACTATTCGAATGTTAGCTACTTTCCTTTGAGCCTAAGTGGAGCCCTGATGTCTCAAAAACACCATGCTGAGCAAAGGAAACCACGCTCGGGAGGTTATGCAACATACCATTGGCATCTACTCTTTCAGAAACAGAACAACTGGTGTGTGGCACTAGAAGACTGAAGACTAAGGGGACCAATCTGAAGGGGCACAGGGAGTTTTAGGGGCTGAAATGTTCTGAATCAAGATTTAGGGTGGTGGCTACACAGATATATATGTCCTTATATGCAGGTTACACTTCAATAAAAATCACCTCCTAAATGTCTCAAAAGTACAAGTGAGGTTCCCCTTATCCGCAAGTCGGAGTTTCTCTTCTTCACTTCTGCCCACCAGCTAATTATGGGCAGGGTTCTGGGTAAGGTGTACAGAGAGCTGCCTTATGCACTATACCTTGAGTGATTGCTTTAAGTGTGAAAGATGCAAATGAAAACTCCCATTTTTCTTGGTTAAAAAGAAAAGCTATTCTCACCAGGAAGTGAGGACTGCAGAGAGAACTCTCACGTGCACACAAAGGTCTGATTTCCTCCAAGAAGCTCTGTCACTGTGAGCCAGAGGATGGCAGTGCCTAGACACCTCCCCTGACCAACAAAGCATCTGGCATTTGTGATTCAATAACCAACATGTGTTCCAATGGGGTCCTTGTAAGCAATAAAGACTTTGTTCATCCTTCTACTACCAAAGCATCTGGCATATCTACTTATAAGGAAAAAATTAGGTGCACACAAAATTCTAAAGGAGGAAAATATGTTTTTGATAGTGTCAAAGAAATTCTCCCCAAACTGAGCCAAAATGGACTCAAAGCACAAAGCTGAAGGAGGAAGGACATCACTTAGGGATGAATGTTAGGCTGAGGTGGGTTCAAATTTAACAACTTAAATCCCCTACTTAGGGAGAAAGCCAGGCTATAAAATGAAGATAGACATCAAGGTTTTCCTTGGGCATTTACTTTGTACCGTAAGAGCTACTGAGGGCAACTACTGTCACAATTGGTACTAACAGCTCAGTCACACGTTCAATGTTTAATATGGTAAATATCAATAGATTCAACCTAGACACCTTAAAGCTCTTTAGGATACTCAATACTTTTTCAGGGTATCAAAGGGTCCTGGGACCAAAAACTTAGAGGCCAAATCTCAAATTACTTCCATCCTCTGGTCAAGCATAATAAATTTCACAAAGGGAACACCTGTGAAGAAAAGCTTCTCTTTGGAAAGCCCAACGGTAAGAATGAGGCCATTGAAGCAGCATGTCACCCCTGTAAAAGGCGCCTGTGAGGTGGATGGAGGATACTATCTCGTGCAAAGGGCTGCAGGAAGGGGTGGCAGAAGGGGTGTTCTCCCACAGGAGGAATCTAGGAGACCACATGTTCACTCGCTACCCTCCCAACACTTGGACAACAGCACACATGATCCAAGGCTCCTGGGCAGGAGTGGTGGGAGTATCTCAGAACTCACAGTTCTCCCCAGACAGAGTAACATGTGCTCACAGGCATGGCCCACTCACAGCAGAGCTGTGCTATGATTCAGAGACACTCTCAAATCAGGTAGGTGGAACTTACTTTTCTCTGGTTGACATATGTAAGAGAAGCCATGTGAACAGACCATGCTGTAAACACAATACTAATACTGACGACCTCGGCTACCTTAGAGTTCTCCTGCCTCTCCTTTATTAAGCTCCATCTGTCACTCCCAATCAAGCTGTGCCTCATCCTACACTCACTCCATGTGACCATGTCCACCCCATGAGGCTGGAAGACTTGCAGTATTTGACTCCATCACCGGCTTTGCATCAACCTGTGTTTCTGACCATCTATTAGACAATGTCACCAATGTGGGTGGCTGGTGCCTCTGATTTAAATGCCCCCAAGCATCCTTCTCCAGTAGTTTATATCTCACTGGACAGAGTCACCAACAGAGAGCCTTTAATCATCCCTCTTCCTCATCTCCACAACTATAACCAAACTTTTTGGTCAATAACTAAGAGAATGCATTCTACAACAATACTTCAGAAGAAGCTTTCCATATTATTTCTAGCCACATGACCATCATTGAGCCCTCACCATCTCCTACATGGAAGATGGAAGCTTCCTAACCTGTTTCCTGCCTATAGTCTACCCCTGCATCAGCAGCAAGCTCCACAAGGCCAGGTACTTACCTAATGTACAAATCTGAGTGCTACTTAAAAGCCTTCAAGAAGATCCTGATGCCTATAGGATTGGCACAAATTCCTTTGTGGATTTTTAAGACCCTTTCCAATCTGGTCTGGCCTCTATTAAAGCAATTAGTACATTTTGAATAATGTTTTATCATCTCCCCTTTGAAATGATAAATTCCTAAAAGCTGGAGCTGTCTCATTCATCTCTCTCCCAAAAGGCTGGTGCAATGACTAGTATACAACAACTGTTCACCAGATATCTTGTTGAGTCAATGTATGCTTTAGCGAAGCTTTTCTCCAGTGTTAAAGACAGTCCCTCCACGCTACTTATGTCACATTCAGACCTCAGCTTGGAGATGCTCCTGGGCCCTCAGAGAGGCGAATGGTGAAAATGATGAGAGATGTGGAATTAGCTGTAGGATTTTGCTACAGAGGAAAACTTGGTTTTCAGGGTGAGAGGTCCTATAAACTCAGGAGTCTGTTCTTGTAGTAAACACACCAGACCTTACACATCCAAGGTCATCACCACAAGAGGCTCTGCATGTATTCCAAAAAGACTGCCATTATTGAAAACATTTTAAAATTCTCCCCAGAAAAATGCTGTGTTTACATAAGAAACTCAAAATACATACAAGCACAGTTCCTCACCAACTCAAACTGTATTTCTAGCTTGATCATCTATTTCAGTAACTAGTTTGATCCAACTGCCCAAAGGACAAAAAATTGTCACCAGGAGTATACTACTAACAATGCACGTTAATTCAGTTATGAATCCAGACACCACAAGACTTCCTGTATGCAGCAGTGGCATCTTCCCCAGAATACACTATATTGTCACCCAAAGTGAACACTTTGAAAAGAGGGCGTTGATGTGGATGAATATGTCTGTCATTTTTAAGATCAAAATTATATCCCATGTGCACTGTTGGAGCAGATTTTTAGATAAGTGCACCATTAGCCTACACTCGGGGGGAGGTTGGGATTTGTGCACAACCATTCTGTGAACATAGACAGGTGTGGTGACACTGCACAAGTCCAGGGGTGTTGGTCCGTGCCGCTGACAGATGCAGAGGCAGCCCATGGAGGACATCTCTGGGGCGAGAACGGCTCCTTACCATAATGCTTTTGTACATGTTGCCATTATTGTCCTCTATACTGATGCGGATGATACAGGTGTCTTCGTTCTGCTGGTTGTAAACAGGGGGCAGCACTGTCGAGGTAATGGATGTCACGGAGACGGAGCGCTTGTGGATTTTAGGGTTGTTGTTGCAGGATGGCGGGGAGGAGAGGGGGTTGATTAAGGACGACATCCCTGAGGAATTTGTGTCCATGGAATGGATGGAGGAACATGATGAGGAGGACTCAGAAAGCTGGAAAAGGAAACATATCCAGAAGAAAATAACTGTTAGAACTTGGGCCAAGAGTGTGCTTTGTAATTCTCAATGCAGAAGTAGCTATCAAGACAACCTGTCCTCAGTTATCTCTTCCACAACAACCCACAGGGACACATTTTGTCTTGGATGTAAGCCCCCACCCTCCAGATGCCTATCAGTGACTCAGGGTAACTTAAGCATCTACATCCACCTGAGGCCATGTGGTTCTCTCATTTCCCTGGTTTAGCTATTCTTATGCCATTAACCAGCAGGTGGCAGCAGATTCTAAAAGAAAGGAAGTCAGTTTACAAGGCTACTTTTACTCCGTCTTACTGCTTTGAGCCTCAACAGCTTTCAACATGGCCACAGAGATCATTTAATCTGACTCCACTTCACAGTCAGATTCTGTAGTAGGAGAGAAATGCCTATAGTTTCAGCAGTTTCTAAGATAAGGACCAGATTACATAGCTCTGCACGGAATGTTAGTGCTGGAAAAGCTCTTGGAGATGCCTGGTCCCATTTCATTCACTATCTCAGGCCAAGGAACCTAAGGCCCAGAGAGAAAACCGTGGCCCCAGTTCACACATCTAGATGGCAGTACCACTAGGACAAACACCTCAGTTCCCTGATTCCCACCACTGTGTTCACAGAACAGCAGGTAGTCTGCTACGGAAGACACCATGGTAAATTAACCTAATATGCCATTCCCTCGGTATGTTTAGTACTGCATGGTTGGTAATGAGTTTTCGTATACTTTATCTCATTTACATCTCCCAAGTGACTTGAGGACACAGAGCAGAACATTATAGCAATAAGGAGAATAAGATTCATTGAAATCACATGACTTGCCTTTGAGCGCTCTGATACATTTTTTGTGGAACTAACGACACACATTTCCCTGCTCTACATCAAGGAGAACTGAGGAATGGGAAACCACAGATAATGTGCTTTTCTGATTAACTGTCTATTCATCATACATTCAATACAAATTACAAGAGAAAGAGGATGCTTAAAACTCACTGGGAGGTATTACTTCCAAAAAAATTGTTAAATTTTAAATCGAATCATTTTAAATACCAGTTCTTATTATAGAAAATTGAAAATAATTTTTTAGAATAGGGTAAGATTAAGTATACCGTATTGACACTATAAAATATTCTGAAAGTCATTTTAAAATAAATAACACTAATTCCTTTCTATACTTATCTGCCCTTTCCTGGAAACAAAGTACAGAAGTTTAGTTTCCTACTATCTGGCTTCTAAATAAAACAGAGTCTATCTTACTTCCTGGGGTTTCTTCTTCCTGTGGCGTACTCTACATTAAAGTCCACTACATGCCTGGACAACTCCGATATGCAGTGGTCTACTGTAGTTTGACCCTAATATGGTTTAGTCATATTTTTTGTTTTTTGGAATTTCCCTACGTTCCCAAGTGAATCAACTTAGTGGCTCAATTTGAGAGCTAACTGATGGTGGGTAATTTTAAAAGCATAACTTGCTTGTACATATATTATCCAAGAAGATCCATTTTCTAAATATTGGTTTAATTTTTTCACCTTCACTTTCCTGTATATAAAACATTTTTTCCTTAGATTTCTCATGATTCCAACAACATTTATAATTAAAATAAAGCCTTGAAGATGCCTGGGTTCTAGAACTCTAAACACACTATTTGGTTAGCCCCCAAATTCTTATTAAGAATTTAAACGGTGAGAAGCAAATATGAAAATAAATGGGCGAGGTGGCTCACATCTGTAATCCTAGCTACTTAGGAGGCAGAAATCCGGAGTGTCACGGTTTGAAGCCAGCCCCAGAAAAAACTTTGTGAGATCCTCATGTCATTCCTAATAAAACCTGGGTGTGGTAGCACATGCCTGTCATCCCAGCTACACAAGAAGCATAAACTGGATGATCAGGCATAAATGCAAGATGTAATTCCAAAACTAACCAAAGCAAAAAGAGCTGGAGGCATGGCACTAGTGCGAGAGTACCTGCCTAGCAAGTGCAAGTCCCTGTTCAAATGTCAGTGCTGCCAGAAAAGAAAAGAAATGTTTAGAAAGCATGATCAGGAGCCTGAAGAGAAATGCAAATTGTACTTTTCTTTTAAAGACCATAACCTCACAGTGCAGCCTTTGGGAAAGGAAAGGTCACAGTGTGAAAGGCTGCTGGAGAGGGTGGTTGACACAGGATCTCAGGGGAGGAAGAGACTGTGGAAGGCATCTGAGTCCAGCTATGCACAAAGCAGGAGAACTGTAGGCCCTCTCAGGTAATATGCAGGCATTCTGCAGCCCAGAAGTTATATCCATGCTTGATATGCATCCATGTCAAACACTCATCTTTAAATCTACAGAAATTCATAAAAGTTTCATCCAAAGAATAAAAAGCCATGACTTGTGCAGGAAATTAGTCATCAAAAAAAGAGAAAGCAAGGGTTGTACAAACAACAGCACACTGGGCTCCTGTATGGTTTTAAAGACCCTCATGTGTATGAGAGAGAGAGTGTGTGTGTGTGTGTGTGTGTGTGTGTGTGTGTGTGTGCACGTGGTGTGGTGCTGAGGAGTGAAACCATGGTCTTAAGCATGCTAGGCAAGTGCTCTACACTGAACTACATCCCCAGACCTAATCTGCAAGGTTTTAAAATGGATGATCTGGAATTCTGCACACTTCCGCTATACCCACTAGATATGAATGTGATTCTACTTTTGTCCCAGACAGGGACATAAATGCTTCAAAGACACAGACAATACCTCTGTGGTCACTTTTATACAACATTCATCATCAGATTAGGGGGTGTAGAAAGCATTAGAACCTGCCAAAAACCTACATTTTGAGCCAAGGCTACATCACATTATGGAGAATGAGTACATCCTTGCTTTAGGAGATGTGACTTTTGGGAAAAAAGCCAGTATGTTAGGTATGTGCAGAGCTCTTCCTTCAACACTCAGAGCATGAAGTATTGCATCCCCTGCATTCAAAACAGAAAGGTGAAGCATCTAACTGGGGGCAGCATTTGAGTCATCTCCGTCTGGCGAGCCCTGAATATGATGTCTCTCCTGGATTAGTTACTCTGTGAACAAGTCATTGTAAGGTTCTCAGATAACCGTGATTAGAGATAACACCAGATAAAGCAGAACACAGGTCCTCCTGAGAGCAGCAGGTATGAACAAAGTAATGAAGCAGCTACCAACACACTACCTCATCGACCAAATCACAAGCTAAGAGGTCAGAAGTCACTTCAAGCATGTTTGGTGGCCAAAAACCTCCCCAAATGGGCTAAGTTCTAGTCATAGCAAAGTTGACCTCTCTGATCAAAGCTCCTTGCCCAGTATATCGAAGCTGATATGTATACAAGATTAAGACTAACATTTTGTTTTCCTTTATTTATTTATGCAGCCATGAAAAAATAGAAACTCTATGAGAATTCTGCTATCACTTCTCTTCACTTGCCATTTGATTTAGACATGCTAGATTGTATCATCATTACTAATTCCTCACCCTACCCTGCTTCCATGCCCTTTGCCCTGTGATTTATTTCAAAGTTTAAAATGGTGCATATTTCACTGCTTCGCTTATTTATGTGGGATCTGACCCATGGTATTGCTATGCAATACTATTATGGTAAAATATGGACCACTTTGGCAGGGGTCAAAATATCACCACCCTACCCCTACACTTCCTACCATAAAACGAACTTCAGAAGGCTCTAAAAAGTCAGCGTACTTCAGAAGAGACATTAAGGAGGAAGACAGATTCCAATCATCTGGTAGACCACATTGCATTGGCCAAAGGAGTGCTGGTGACAGGAACCAAGGGAAGACCTGCTATGTACTGTGGGGTTGCGCTTGTCCTCTTTCCTCACCTGTCTTAATATGCTAAGAGCATGCCATGGATAAACCCATTACTCCAAAAAGAATGAGGTGGGGCAGACTTGGACCAAGACTGTGGCCTAGAGCTAATCCTGATCCAAATCAGCTAACTCCTTAGATCCACAATTATTGTTTTACATCATTGAGCTTTGGAATGGTTTGCTATGCAATACTGTGGAGGTAAAAGCTTAACTAAGACCAGGTATGGCACCAAGAAGATGACACATCTCCATCTCCGACTTTTTCATACCTTCTTAGGCAACCCTCCTTTTCCTGAATAAAGTATGCTTATATTACAGGTCACAAATCTTCAGTGCCTTTAGCTGTGTGTATAGAATATCTAAAAGGTCAAATGAATAAACCAATCTGTTTACTGCTTTTAAATCTGTAAGTAATGGGTCCCCAGATTCGACTCTGCTTTTGATACCTCTTAACTCTGATTTTGACACTCTTGTAGAGTGATACACTCAAAAACAGGCATTCCTTGCAGGAGAAACAACCAATACCATGTCAGAGCTTACAATAGGAATTATGCAAAGGATTAAGCAAATACCTTTTTTTGAGGCTCATCAGGTGTGTCCATGGGTGTAATAGAGCTCTCCTCAGCTTCTGAGTGGTTTGACTCACAGGATGACACACTGACAGAGTCCATGCTTTCCCCGGAGCTCCCACTGGCTGTGGACTTGGGCTGCTCTTTGGTGGGAGTGCTACTAGTGATAATGTCAGACCCCAGAAACAATCTGTAGAAACAGAGCCAAGCATTTGGGTTGTTACAAATCTGGAATCCATGAGTAAGCAAATAACTTTGTGCTGATTAAGCCCTGGACGAATTTCTGAAGCTTGCATGCCCTGTGGTTAGCATTTTAGGAAAACGTTTGCTTTAAGGTTCCTAACATTAGTAGTAAATGTCTTATCCCAATAAGTTATTACCAACTTGAAAGAACACGGAATGTTTAGCTGATTAATTTGGGAGTCTTTCTAGGTCAATGGTAGTCCTTCAGTCCATGAACTACTTTGGCAAGGTCAAAATAACCACCATAAGTTCATAAGATAGACTTCATAAGACTTTAAAAGGCTGTCATAGTTTGGATTTAAAAAAAAAGAAGAAGGAAGAACACTTCTGCTTCCAACCATCTGGTGAACTGCAATAACCCAACCCCCTTCTCTATAAAACAACTAGGTAAGAAATATTAAAACTCCTTCCAGTTGAGCTTGCAAGATAGTGAGGGTAATCCCTAAAGCCTTAAATGAAAAGGGAACCGAGAAATGGAAGCATGCGAGCTATGACTGCAGCTGCTTTGGCTAGGAAATGGAAAGCACAAATCTTAGAAAAATAGTGACACGTTTTAAAATTGTTATTAACATGTTAATTTTACGAATTAATAGGGTTCGGTGTTATATTTTTATACATGCATACTGTGTGCATTGAGCATGGGTTTTAACATGTACACAGAACTCAGAAATGAGAGCTTCTGTTTATAAAATACAAAAAGCCAGGGCCCTCAAAGGACTGTATCCTTAATAAAGAAATGGGCTAAAAAAGTATCTTTCTACTGGCACAAGAAAACAATAGGGAAGCCTATCTGTCTTATAAATTTGGATATTAGAAAAATGTCTCTCTTGAAATCATGCTTGGCCTATGCCTCACTCTGATTTGCTGCCTATGTGGTCTAGAATTCCCAGTATAGCATCCAAGGGAGATGAACATGAGAAAAGAGCATTCCAGGCTACTGGCCAATGACACTTCCAGGACAACTAGATTTCTAAAGGAAAGAAAGAAAAAAAAAGAAGGAAAGGAGGAAGAGAGGGAGAGAGAAAGGAAGGAATGTTTTTTGAGGGATTCACTTTCAACCCAGGCTGCAGAGAACTGCCTGAGATGAGCTCACAATAAAAAATTACAAAAAATATATACAAGAAAATATACTCAAAGAGAGAGTCAATAGGCATCTTAAACAGCAGGTCTAGACTCCCAAAAACTTCCAATATGAGAACTGTGAGAAAGAAACTAGAAATTTATTTATTCAGCAAATGTTTGCATGTCTACTTGAGGCCAAGCTATAAAATGTTTAAAATAATAAAGCCAGAAGAGAAGAAATTAAGAATTAGAACTTAGAACAAGATACTCTGACAAAAGTGCAAGATAATTTGAAGAAAATTCACTTGTAAGTGAAAAATGTAGTGAATTAAATTAAAAACTCAATAGAGGGATTAAGTAACTGCTGAAGAGGAGAATTATGAAAAAAAAACATAAGAAAATCATGAATAGATATGAAGAAAAATCCTCAGAAATCAGCATCAAAAGATAAAGACATGAAAACAGAAGTTAAAAGATACAGAGAAAGTAATAAGAAAATTTTGAATGTATGTAAGAGGAGCTCCAGAAGACACTGAGACAATGGAAGAGGGGCCATATATGAAGGCATGGTGGCTAAGAGAATTCTAGAACTGATGAACCACCCGAATCCTCTGACCCAGGAAACATGGTATCCTCATCACACAGATGACAAAACAGAAGTTCACATAATTAGTAGTGGTGAGATGTGTCAGGTCAGTATGTCTCCCAAGCCCACCTGGTCATGAAAAACAGTTCAATGTTCCCTGAGCACTGCTCTTGCTTGTCCCTGAGTCAACGCAGATTATTATGTCAACCCCAAGACCAGACATGGGTATTTATCTGTGTGAGAGAAGATGGTTCCTTCAGCTAACCTTCTTACCTTTCTAAGATTCATTAGTTTAATACCTTTAAAAGTTGAAAGGCTAAGAGATCAACTTGATGGTGAAGACTAGGCTCTCTTATAGTTCTTCTATTAAAAATCACTACAATAAACCCAGAGCCTAATTAAACCAACAGTCTCTTTCCCCTTCTTCACTTCCTCCTTCTATCCCTTCCTTCCCTCCCTCTTCTCCCATTCTCTTTAACTCCTGCTGTATCTTTCCTTACTTTCTTCCTTCAGAATGTAATTTTCCAAGAGGCAGTATGGTAAAGAGGTTATAAATTTGGCTTTGGAGCCAATCTTTGGTACGAATCCCAACACTCCTGTACTGTCATATTAATCTGTGGGGAGCAGATTAAAGCCTATGAGAACTGGACACAAGCAAGGGAAGCTGCAGTTAATTGCTTTTACCTGTAGGCCAAGATAGGCACAGCCCCAGCCATGAAACAGGGAAAAGCAGAACAGCTGCACCTCCTAAGTTGTGTTCAGAGAAGCAGGAACTTAGATCTTCTGTTGCAGTGTCACACCCCTCCCTGTGGCTCCACCCTGTTTGCTGCTATAAAAGACCCCTGAAGGAGGAAGAGGAGCTTTTGCCTTTTGGGGCTTTCCTTTGGGCTTTTGGACTTTTTGCTTGGCTTTTGGCTTTTTGTTTTGGTGGGCTTTTTGCTTTTAGATGTTGGGAAGAAACTTTTACTTTGGGCCTTTTGGTGTGGGAAGCTTTTGGAAGGGAAAGAATTATTGAAGGGAAAAATTGCTGTAGGGAAAAGAACTGTTGAAGGGAAAATGCTGAAGAGGGGTTGATAGGAAGTCTGTTCCGAGAACTTTAACATAGGTTTCAGAAAGCAAAGCTGAGGAAGAACTTCATACGTAGGCCCTAGGAAAGCTAAAGCTACAGAAAAGCCAAAGAGAGCATGGGACCATGCACAGTGCGCAGTCTAAGGACCGAGACCTTATGAGTTATGCATATGCGGTTTGCAAGTTTGAGCACCAAGGCTTTAAGAGAGTTAAAGAGAGATGGGACAGTGCAAGCCTGGGTGCAAAAGACTTTAAGAGGAATTAAGCTAAAGGTGAGCTGAGAGAAAACATGGGACAGAGCGAGCCTAAGGAAAGAGGTTTTAAGCAAGGTTTTAAAGAATACTTTAGAAGCAAGGTTTTAAAGAACTGCAAAGGAGTAAGGCCTTAAAGAATAAAGATAGAGAAAAGAAGCGATGAGGGTTGGGCGTCTCCACCCAAGTGCTCAACACACCTGACCCCAACTTTCTGTCTAGACAACTTTCTGTCCATCCTGTGTCTTTTCTGACTCTCCAGTTAAGCCCAGTTAGGTCCAGTAATAACCAAGGAGCGAGAGTGAAAACCTCGCTCCAGCAAGGGAGGGGGCACGAGAAACAGTGCCCCCTTCATGAATCGATTCTGTCTGTCCTTCACTTTTCCGTCTATAAAACGAGTATAATAGTGGGAACTATTTCTTACATCACGTTGTGGATTAGGTAAGAAATACGCATACTGTTCTTAGAATAGCCCTGGCACATGACTTAATTTATGCAGTCAATAAATATTTATTAATCATCTACTGTGTGTGAGGCACCATTCTAGGGTCTAGGGATAGAGCAATGAATAGAAAACAGACCTATCTCCACAGAGTTTGCATTCTAAATGGATACATTCAGCACACAGTATATCAGGTAGCGGGAAATGTGATGCAGATAAGAAAGAGAGCCAAGGGAAGGTAGAATGGGCAGGTTATAACATCAGATGAGGCAGTTGTGGGAGGGTCACTGAGAAGGTGGTATTTCCAAAAATATCTGAAGGAAGGGAGGGAATGAGCCATGTGGCTAGGTAGGGGAAGAGTGTTGTTAACAGAGTAAAAGGCAAAATAAAACTGAGTGCACTTAGTGTGTTCAGGTAGGCTTTAGTGGCCGACATGCAAAGAGCACAAAAATCAGGAAAGATAAGGACAGAAACAGGGGACAGGCAGGGAGAGGGAGCCAATGATGCTACCCTATGGGCCTCGTGAGCCATTCTAAGGACTTTGGATTTTACACAAAGGGAGACAGATCTTCTGAAACTGGTTAGGCAGGCTCTCTCACCCACCTGGCAATCAGTATGTGTGCATGATGAGCAAGGTTCCATTCTCAGACCGCTCACATTCCACTGGAGGAAGCACCCAGTGCAAGTGTGAGTGAGTGGTCAGGGTAGACAACCACATCAGAGAGGGCTCTTGCAGGAGGCATCATTTCCCCAAATCTGAGGGAGTTAGCCATGAAGAAAGTGCATCCCAGGCCACAGGAGCGGCCAGTGCAAAGGTCTAGAGCAGGAAAAAGCCTGATGTATTTGAGGGATGGTTAGAAGACATGGTGGGTCTTGGTGAATGAGGTTGTAAGAGAGGGAAGGTTGGGAGTACATTACATAAGGCCTAGTAATATAGGATTAGGAGTTTAAGGTTTATTTCAAATTAAAATCACTGGAGGTTTTTAAGCAAAGAAGCACCAGGCGATTCAGTGGAAAATGGATTGTTAGGACAAGGGGACAGTAAAGATGTTGCCAGATGGTCCAGGCAGGGATGATGTTGGTTCACAGAAGAGAAAAGACTAGAGAGGAAATGAATGGATTTAACAGATGTCTTGAGCTGATGACAGAAAGACAGACTACTTGAGCGTTCTTTACTTTTGCCTGGCTCGTGGAGACCTTGTCAAATACATTTCCTCTGCCCATCCCATGGGACCTTTGCAGAGCTCCAAGACCCCTGGGTGGCACTCACAGGCTAAGCCTCTTCACCATGCTCTTCCGAGGCTTGGGGGAGGTGGTGCTGGCATCCGCAGTTGCTTCAATCTCACAGGAGAGGGCGTAGCTGGGAATGAGAAGGGTACTTAGAGGTCAAACTTTGAGGACTGAAGAACGGACTTCAATTCACGTGGTTTATTATGTCGGTTTTAGAGGAAGGCTGCGATTGTTCAAAGTGAAGGTATAGACTATGTTGTTTTAACATGAATGTCAGAGGGTACTTACTGAATTGCCAAGTTGTATAAATTTACATTATACACCATTCCCTTCACTGGCGTATGGATTTAGACGTTTAGTTCTGCATGCTTCAAATAAAAGGCTGTGTGCACACTTGCAGCACTTGAGTCTATTCTGTCCTGAATGTGTTTGCCACACTGCTAGACCAAGGGAAAAATCTTTGTCCCTCCCTGACTTGTCCCTCTCCCACTCCTCACCCCTCCTCCCATTAGCGTGTTTGAATGTGTAAGCACATGACTTGCTTTAAGGAACATGAAAGAGATTTTTGTAAATATCTTACTTTCAGTGAATAGACATAAGTAATTCTATTATTCCTAACGATAGAGAAATATGATTATGAATATAATTTTAATCGTCAAAAAATCCTGAATTAAAATACTCTAGATTCATACATCTATATCCCAGGCAGGTATAACTGGCACATGCAAAAGAGGAATTGCTATCTGATCTGAAACGCCTTCTATGAAAGCTTGTATCTGTAGCTCTAGCAGATAGATGCATTTGGTTACAGGGTGGGTGGGGAAGGGTGCTCAGCATTACACAGCCATCTCAGAGCTTAGGTTGTACAGCTAGGCGGCCCTGAGAGTGAATCTAAGCACTATCACTGACTAGTTATAATATGCCTTTAAACCTCAATTCCTCATTGGCAAAGACTTATTTTGCTGTCAATTTCACTCTCTTATGACAAACTTACAAAGAAATTCCTTGGTTTACAACAGGAATCGGCAAACTTTTTCTGCAAAAGACCAGATAGTAAGTATTTTAGGTTTGTGGGCCATCTGGTCTCTGCTGGAGTTACTCAAGTCTGTCTTTAAAGCATGACAGCAGCCAGAGATAAGATGTAAATGAATGGGTTATGTTCCAATAAAACTTTATTTATGGATTCAGAAATTTGAATTTCAAATAACTATCCAATGTCATATTCTTCTTTTGTTTTTAGTTTTGTTTTTTTTTTCCAACCACTTAAAAGTGCAAAAACAGGCAGTGGACCACATACGGCCTTCAGGCTAATCTGTCAACCACCAAGTTACAGGAAAGGTCTGGGCAAACATTCAAAGCATTACAGCTAACGCGCCCCTTTACTATGCTTATCAACCAGAATTTTGAAACCTGGGCCTATGCTCTACCAACACCAGAGTGTTACCACTGTTCCTCCAAGGGCAATGCCTGTCAGGCCACCAGGCTTTTGCGTGTGTCCTCAGCTCACTCTGTCTGGAATGTCCGTCTCCAGTTTTCCCAGTGAGTCTTCTCTTTCCTTCGCACCCCAATCTACATGGTAATGCCACAAATGAGCTGTTCCCGACTGTGGGTCTGCAGCACTAAGTTATCTAGCATGGTTCAATTTTTCATGAGTCTACCCTCCTTAGACTGAAAGCTCCCTGAAAGGTAACACAATGAACCCAAGTGACAAGCTAGGTGACAATGGTGGGTGCGGCAGAGATGATAATGACGATCAGCATCCTAACAATTTTTTTATACCTTATAACAAACATAACAAAGATAAGCATCCTGGAGATAAGGGAGAATAAAAGACTTACTCAAGCTTCCAAAGATAAGTAAGTAGCAGAGCAAGACACATGTTTTGTTGTGGTTTGGTTTTTGGCAGTATTAGGATTTGAACTCAGGGCCTTGTGCTAGCTAGGTAGGCATTTTACCACTTGAGCCACTCCCCCATCCCCTTTTGCATTCATAGTTTTTCAGGTTGGGTCTCAGGTATTTTTGCCCAAGGGGGCTGGGGCAGCAATTTTCCTACTTAAGCTTCCTGCATAGCTGGAATGATAGGCACATGGCACAATGCCCACCTTTTTCACTGAGATGGGATCTCTCATATCCTTCCAATCTCTGCTTCCCAAGGAATTATAGGGGTGAGCCACTGTATCCAGCCCTCCAACGCACATCTTCTGATGCCCTCAATTCAGATTTTCCTGCTACGTCATACTCTTCTGGAAACCAACGTTCTAGAACCTAGTGGCTGCCACCAAATAGTTGTTCAGTAGATGACCAGGGAGGTACTAGATGCAGCATTCCTCCCACCCATGCCTCGGTTCCATACCTCTCCTCCTCTGTGAGGAGCTGCTGCCTGTGGAACCACTGAATGAACTTCAGGTCTGGGCTCATACAGTAGCTGTTGCAAGCAGACTGTAGGAGCTTTATTTGGGCAATCACTTCAAATTCCTAAAGAATACCAAGAGGACAGAGTGAATAATAGAGCCAACCAGATACAGATCTTCTCAGCATGACAATATACCACTTTAGGATAAACTGTGGTGAAAACCATTTAATAAGGCTCGGAAATGCTGCTTCATTAGAAAGGTTTGATCCCCAGCACCGCAAAGAAAAAAAAAATTCTAACTCTGAATCTCTCAAGTCCTTGAATACTTCAGTTTTCTCTTTGAAAGAACATTTTATAGGAACAAAACAAGCCACCAAAGTAAGCAAAGTAGTTACTATGTGGTTTCCTTTCTCTTTTCGTCCTTGGGACAGAAAAAATTTTTAAGGTTTTAAGTACTTGATAAAAATATGTGAAAATTTTCTACTTCTATTCCTTAAAAGATAAAGAAAACAAATGCTTTAAGTCAAGAAGGTCTGGAGTTCCCCATCTCCAACTTTTTCAACCCACAATAAACAAGCTTTGGTCGAGCTGAATATCCAAACAGTCCAGAGCCTCATAAAATTGAATGTTTAAGTTTCTTGGATCCTTAGATTTTTACTACTCCAGTAAATCATTTAACTAAATCTTCTAACGCTCATGAGAGAAGCAGTGTATAATCACATCCAGGATTATTTATAACTCTTTAGATGTTTCAATAGTTCCTTTTTAAAAGTTGGCAGGGGGATAAGCTTTAGCTTTAGGTTTTATATTCAAACTTTCCAAACACTTAATATCTTAGTCTTAAAAGAAAAGAAATTAGCATTCAGGCTTATTCTGAAGTTAAAAGACAAGAATGGGTTACAGTGAAGGGATAATTGATTTTAAAAATTATATATGTTGCTACAGGATACAACAAAAGTCACTTAAGAACTAGCAGATTCTCTGAGTCTTGGCTTTCCCATGCAGTGACCTCAGCCCTTGGTCTCACTACTGTCAAGGAATATTTGTTATCATGCTAAAGATGGCATCATGTCACTCGATGAAGGACAGAAAGTTTACATGAGTCCAGGTTGGTATCTTGTCACTGAGGAACTCCTCCATGCCCTATTGGTCCTAACTCCAATGTCATTTTCACCTGCAAATTTCTCTGACTCTACAAATTGGAGCTAGATGTCCCTCCACTATGCTTTTCTAAGACCTGACGCTACTTCTGCTCACAAGCCTGTATCAGGCTGTGTTATGACTGCCTTTGTATTTGTCTATCTCCCTTCAGGAGGGCAGAGACCTCTAGTTATCCCCAGCTGTAATCCCTATGGGGTGAAATTATTTTGTCTTTAAATCATCTACATGTCTATGTAAATCTACTATATTACACAAAAACATGGCAAATTTTCAAGACTGCTTTAGCTTTTTGTAGCATAGTTCAGAACTATGTTATCCACAGAAAGATTTAAATTGATGTTGAATGCCCCTTCTTATGCTGAGGAAAAGAATAGTTGCTTATACCTAACAGTGAAGACCAGATCTCTTCCTCTCCTAAATAAACCCACAAGAGTTAACCATCTTTAGTAACTCCATTTACTGTTAGGAAACCACTTATCCTTAATAGGAAGAACTTGTTTGGTTTTTTAAACAGACAAAAAATTGTATAACCAAGTTAATTAACATATGAATTACTTTACATACTTATTTGTTGGTAAAACACTTAAAATCTATTCTCTTGGCAACTTTCAAGTATACAATACATTATTAACTATAGCATGAACCTGGTTTTGCTGAAGCTAATTACAAAGCAGATGTGGAAGGAGTAAGAAAAGAAATTACCCTAATTTTTTTTTTAATGTTACAGGGGTTTGAACTCAGGGTCTCACAGTTGCTAGGCACACACTCTACCACTTGAGCCACTCTGCCATCCCCAATTTTTTTTTTTTTTTAGTGTGCCGGGAATTGAATCCAGGATCTCATACACTCCTGGGTTCCCTCTACCATTAACCAATTCCTAGCCTAGCTCTACCTTTAATGTCTTAATGGGGTTTGGAGAGGGAGGACAAGATTGGAACCCTGACTTTACTACAGGGTCCAGTTATTTAATCTCTTGAATCTGGTTTCCTTGCCTTAAACCATCCTTATTTTTAAACTGAGAATGGTAAAAACCTATCTCATGGGTAATGTATAAGAACATACCAAGCACAAAGATATATGATAAATGTTCAGTAAGTGTGAATTCTTTTTTTTCTGCCTCTACAAAAAATTCAAATTTCTCCTTTTTTCATTCCCAGATGAAGTAAAGCACTCTACTTACCCTTCTCCTTTTCTCGAAGTTTATCAGTCCACCCTGAAAGAAAAAATTTTAAAAGTAGTGACCAACCACACTACTTTGAAACACAGCCCTGTGTTGTTCTAGGTCACATTAAAAACAGATCAAAGGAATGATAAAGTCATGATTATTAATGTTCCTGTAATTATGGGAATATGGAAGAGAATCAATCATCTTTTGCTTCTAGAAAAACATTCTTTTCATTTATAATAGGGCAGGGTAGGCAGACAGCGGTTTCTTAAAATGTCTGAAACCAACTACAATGGTAATGATAAAAATGTAAGTCAGTACCCAAATATATTTGAAGAGCCAGTAAAGACAAAAGCTGTAGTAAATATTTTATTATACTCTTTCCTTGACCAAAAGCATCAAAAACAGATGGTCACTGACTCATGCTGGAAACCAAATTGTCATTGGCTTATCAAAAGAGAAAGACACTTCCACATAGTATCATGAAAAGTGAAATTTCAATTCTTCATCTGCCAGGTCCTATTCTCAGTAGGCTGAATTTAATTTCTAAATCTTTGATCATTTCCCAAATTTCCCAAAAATGATGGCTATTTTCTGAAATAAGCTGAGGCAGAAGATATCAAAAAATGCAGAGCTCAGGAAATGCAAAATGAATGTATGTGTCCACACGCTTAAGGAAAACTCAGAGGTAGGCACACTCAATGCAAAAATAACTTCTCCTCTTTCTGGTTATGGTACTATAAAAGCAGGCTGACTGGCTGTGATAACCAGCAAAGTAGAATACGCTTAAATATGCAAGAAATCTTTAAATCTCATTCCAAATATCAAATCTCTTTCCACTTAATATTATTGCTATCAACAAATTGCCTTTTTGACTGGATTTTACCTCTTTTCCCATTCCAAAACAGAGTGAGGGACCAGAGGTGTGGCTCAACAGGTCGATCACCTGTTTTGCAAGTACAAAACCGTGAGTTCAAACCCCAGTTCTACAAAAAAAATCTGTAAGAGTGAGTGCAAGTCTATACCCCCAAACAGATAGCAATATAAAAAAGGGGGGAGTTATACCTGAAAATTCACAAATTTTTCACATTCTTTATTTCCTAGGTAAAATGTTAGACATATTATTCTTTTGGCTCCACCTGCAATGTCTCACTCAAGATCAAGGTCTTGCTCAAACCTACTCCTTAATAAAGCCTTTTTATCAATTCATCTTGAACTAATCATGATGTGTTATATTCTTTCATTACATTTCTGTTCAAATTTCTACTGCCTCTGTCAATCAGTGCCTACTGCAATAAAATATTCCTTCCCGTGGCTTTTGAGTCACTCACTTCTAGATTATTATCTTTTACTGTTATTCTTTGTTTTCTTCCTAGCATCTAGCAAAACACCATGTGCAGATGGACTCTTGATAGTTACCAATAGAAGTGAATTTCTCTTGAGTATCCAATGAGAAGGCTGCAGACCCACTTACACCAGCCACACAGAACTCACCTCGATGTAGTCCTGTAGAGCAGTGTCCAGCATGGTCAGGTCAGTCAGGAAGGTACCCAGGTAGGGTACAGTTCCCTGCATCACACCCTGCCGAGTAATCAGAGCAAGGCTGTCTTTACTGTCAATGAAAAGTCTCATGATTTCTGTAACCTTCACTCTGGAGAAAATGATCCATTCAAGGACTAATTTCGAGTCATTAGTGCTAACCTTCATGATTGAAAAATTTGAAATCCCTACACAAACAGGATAGGAACTCTATGATGTAATGCCTAACTTTCAAAGTCATGAGAACCAAGTCCAAAACCCAGAAGATTATACACGTATGTTCAAATGTGTTCACAATGGGATTTATATTTTCCTGGGCTCAGGTTGGCAGGTTGTCTGTCCTCTTTCAGAGTGTACTGGACACTTCTGGTAGCTTGGGATGGCCTGGATAACAATGGAATCACCACTGGTAAAAGAATAAGCCAGTGCACCATGGAGGAGAAGTATGGACCACAAGAGTACAAGTCCTTACTCTCACTTAGTGACTTACTTTCAAAGAGTAAAAGAAAGAAAGGAAAAACAGTAACTTTCAAGAAGAAAGCCTGGCAAACTCTACTGTAACCAAGTGATGAGGTTCACATCACCAATGGCACCATCAGCATGATAGCAGCTGTCACACTGATGCCATTCTCTCGATGTGGTAAGAAGAGTGTTTTACCTCCATGACAGTCTTTCAAAAACCTGTAATCTAGTCTAAGTGTAAGAAAACAAAGACAAACTCGGACTGTGGGGCATTCTACAGGACACATGGACAGCAGTCCTTAAGACTGTCAAGGTTATGAAAAACAGGTAAAGCAACTGAGACCCTCTTATGGACCAGAAGAGATTGGGAAGACCTGACAGACAAATGCACTGCTCTACAGTGGACTGGGTCCTACAACAGACAGAGGACACTAGTGGAAAACTGGTAAAATCCAAATAAAGTCTGTATTGTAGTTGACAGTACTATGCAAGTGTCAAATGCCAGATGTGCCATGGCTACAGAGGACATTAATGATGGGGGAAACTAGGTAAAGGGTTCACTCAAATGATAGGGTTTACAGTATTCTATGTTACTGCCTTTGTAACTTTTCTGCCATTAATTCAAAATAAAAAATTTTTTAAAATTTTTCCTTGAAAATGAAGGTGAAAACACTTCAACATAAAACTGAGGTAAAGACTATGTTCATTTCCCCAAATCTCCTTAGAAATCATCTATTTTCTATACTAAGGCACAGCCATTCTTCAGGGAAAATAAACAGGAGCACCCATGGACACCTTATTCTAATGTATTAAGGTACTTATGGAAACTCTGAAAGTCAGAATCAGACTTTCAGAGATAAGGCTGGACTGCTAGGCATGAGGCTGGCTGCTTCCTCAGTTGGTTCATATCAAGCAGGGGTGGTCCTTTAGGAACTTGCTACCTGCTGCAGTTTGTCCTTCCCATATGTGTGCAAGGTCTTATCCTGAACCAAAATAATCTTCTCTACCCCCTGCTTCAGTAACAGCTATTTTTAACTTGTCTTTGAACAACCAAAAAATTTGAAACCCTGAGTTTTATAGGTTTTATGTTACAAAACAGTCCAAGCATTTGAAAATATTTCTGATTTATGTCCAGCTTTCCAAAGAAAGAGAAAATCCTCTCAAGGCAGGAATGAAAATTTAGGAGTGTAACATTCAACTGAAGATGATAACAATTATCTTTCAGTCTACAGAAGGGAAGGCATGGCTCTCCTTTGAGAAGTGAAAAATTAGAAAGTTTGGCTACTCCCTGAGATTAGGAAGGGGAGGCTGACAATGATCACAGGGCTGGGGAACAAATGAAACGATCTCTGAACACAACGCCCCAGTCCTCCTAGTAGAAGACACTCTCTTTCCTTGATCATCATGTGCCAGAAGCTGACAAAGGTAGGAAGCTTAGTGGTTGGAGGAGACAGTGAAAAGGATAGACATACCTGTTGCAGAGTTTCCCTTACTATTAGGAAAAAGTATATATGCAGGTCCAGAAAATATGATTAGCAACTGTCAGTATTCACTTCCTTTTGGATCAAATGGGAATAATCTTTCCTAAAGCCCTCCCAGGGCTGCTAAGAACAAGTGAGGTAAAGAATGGGAGAGCCCTTTCAAAGTCCGGATGTCTAGCAGATTGAAAACACTGTTGTGATACAGAGCTGCCCAGCCACCTACACAAGGCCACTTTCCTGTGGGCTCTCCGGGGAGTAATAGGGGCTGACATACCATATCCTTCTGCAGCTGGAGCCGCCTCTGAGTTCGTTTCTGGTTTTCTTTCACGCTGCTGTCCAGATTTGCAAATTTTGAGGTTCCTTCCTAAGAAACAGAGCACACAAAGGAGAAGGATGGAGGATGCCATTATAGAGAGAAGGACAGGGGCGCCTAGCTTCTGGAATGCACAAGTCTCCAAGTGCCATGCAAATGAAGAAGCTTTCTGTGGGCTCTTGAGGTGTACTATGCAAAGGTGTGGCTGGCTTTGCTGGGAAGTGGTGTCCTTTGCATGAGGCCTGGTAGTCTTGGATTACACCCTGCTCATCCCCCACTCTGTAAGAAGAGTATCTGATTTGGCTGTAAAAAATGAATTGCTACTACAAAGTGGGCAGCTCCTGGAATAGGACACATTTTTACACATCCCATGTTTCACTCAAAATAATGACATGTCCTGGAAATGAAGACTGATTCCTCTGTACATTCTGTGATTTCTTGATCTTGGCCTGAAACGGATGTGCCAGCATTCTGTGAAAGAAAAAGGACTAACTTTGTGGTATTTCTTAGCTAAATGAAACTTTTTTACAGGAAGTTTTCTGAGGAAGTCTAGTATTGTGGTATAGCACCAATTCATACAAATAGACCTTCATACATTTCCCCTTTCCCCCAACGGGTCCCCCTAAGTTGCCTCCTAGGCTTGGAACTCTTACAAACCTATCCTTCCTTCTGGTGCTTGAGGACAGATGGTCACCCTTCCTTTTGGTGCCTGAGGACAGTAGGCCACCCTGCATTCTGTAACTATAAACTCTTCTACATAACGACTAATCATGAATTTGCTGACTGAACATAAAGTGTTTGGGGTTTGTGGTTTCAGGGTCTTAAGTTCTCATTTTCTGGGAACTACATGAATGGGAGGAAAATTTCACAATTCAATAGTGTATAACCTCTGTATTAGTTTTCCTTCAGTCAGTTTTCCATGGGCTTATTACCTTACTTTAGTAAGTGCCTTCCATTACTGTACAACTAACTGCAAGAAGGTTCTTTCTCTATGACATAGTCTTGCTGATGGTGGCAAAGCATAAATACATCCTATCATTAACTAGCCTTAACCCAGAACCCAGGTATGACCCACAGTGACCCATTATCTATGTCAGTTCTCTCTATTAGAGATGAAAATAAGGGAAGTGTTACCTGTTGAAACTATTCCAGGAATTGGGGGGGAGATTAAGGAGAATGGTGGATGGGGTAAATTCGAGTATGATATATTTGATATATTGTAAGAATGTTTGTAAATGCCACAATGTACCCCTACCCAGCACAATAAAAAAATGAAGATTTCTTTTCTTTATGAGCATAAATAAATAAATAAGAAATTCACAGCAAAAAAAATGATAATAAGGAGAGCTACCATTGAATGCTCTCCCACCTACAGGTTTTCTTGGGGGTGCATGATAGTAACCTAACATGTGCTACTTTCCTGTGCCAGGTGGTTGTGAGACTTTCCAAATCCTTAAGAATGTGCTTAGAGATAGTAATCAATTCTGTCTGGCACAAATATGAGTGCCCATTTCTTTCTAGTGCATAGGTCCTTCTGGTCTCTCTCCATACTCGTAATCATAGGCAGAGGAATAGTGTATGGAAATCATTGCAGATATATCTAAAATTCTTAGTAAGGAT